GTAATTTTTCAAATAATATATGTTATTCCCTTCGTCTTAATTATACAATTCGCGTAAAATTTTGAGAGTTAATCGAATTTGTAATATTTTAAATTTATTTTTTAGTACTATTTAAAAAGGAAAAAATTAAAATATAATGCCCAATGTATTCAATTATTCCATCTGTTTCTCCTTTTTGACTTAATTGTGTGAATGTTTTTAATTTATTATCATCAAATTTTATAAATAATATTCTTTTAGAATTTTATATGAAGTTAAAATCAGATAAGTATATTAATACGGATATTGTAGTAAAGTAATGAAAGAGGACAAAGAGGAATGAGTGAATGGGGACATTATAATATGATGTTTTTGATGTATTTTGTAGGGTTAGAATAATATGTGGGACCCATTGGGTGTATTTGAGTTTGTAATAATGAAAAGGAAAGCCACGTGGACGGTTATGATTAGGTAATTAGGATGGATCTATTAATGAGGACTTTCCTCTTGTGTGTGAAGGTTTTTTGGTCAATTTGAGGGAAGCACACGTGTCGAAAGAAGAGTGAATTTTATTCACTCTTCTTATATAGTAATAGTAATACGAAGTGTTTATATGAATAACTTTTTCTTCAGTTTCTTATTCTTTTGTTTTTATTATATATCATATGTTATTTTTCCTTTGCTTCAGTTAAATTAATTATTATTCTATTTTTTTTCATTATTCTATTATTTGTTTCAAATTAACTTAGTTGAATATGAATCTTTTGAAAATAGCCTTTTTTTATTATTAAAATAGGAATAAAATTTACATGCATAATTAACATTATTTTTTTCAAACTTTACTTATAAAATTAAATTGAATATCTTATCAATCGTCTTCTTCATGCAATACCAATATATAGTGCTACTATGCAATTGAAAATCCCAAAACTTATAAAATTCGCAAGTGTAAGATTTAGAGCCACTTTATAGTAAGACACAATTTTTGCTTGAACTTTTTCCCTTAACCAGCATCATATAACCCAGAGACTTTCAGTCTTCAGATGCAAGTATATAAATGCATCATGTATTTGTAACATAAAATGAAGCTTCTTTAGTTTTACCAAGCAGAGTTCTTGCAAACTATTTTTACACAACAATTTTAAAGGAATGGGCGAATATCACCAAAACTAAACAGAGAAATTCAGTGGGATCAAACCCAAGGTCGGCAGGCAGCAGTCATGGCTGCTACGGTTCCAATACTATAAATCCTAAACAATCTGCCTTAATTAACTCAAAAACAATTATAAAATCAATCGAAATAATTCATGGAGAACCTATTATCACGTTTTCAATGGAGGAAAGGCAAGACTTTATGATCGAAGAGGGATTACATCAAGCAGTAGTGTTTAAATTATCCCATCGTGCACCAGATTTGAATGTATTAAGGTCAATTTTACCGAAACATCTTGGTACCAAGGGCAATTGTTTAATTGGCTTACTTGCTCCAAGACAAATTTTGTTGAGGTATGATCAAACCACCACATACGCCACCCTTTTCAATTCCAATACTATAAATCCTAAACAATCTGCCCTAATTAACTCAAAACAATTGTAAAATCAATCGAAATAATTCATGGAGAACCTACTATCACGTTTTCAATGGAGGAAAGGCAAGACTTTATGATCGAAGAGGGATTACATCAAGCAGTAGTGTTTAAATTATCCCATCGTGCACCAGATTTGAATGTATTAAGGTCAATTTTACCGAAACATCTTGGTACCAAGGGCAATTGTTTAATTGGCTTACTTGCTCCAAGACAAATTTTGTTGAGGTATGATCTATATGAAGATTATGAACTAGCTTTATCTCGCTCAGTTAATTATCTTCTCTACAATGGAGAGGAGCACCAATGTAGGGTTTTTCCATGGTCCATTGGAAATAACCCTTAGGGAGGAAACGACGTTAGTTGTGTGGTTTGGATTTCTTTACCGAACTTATCTCTAGATTTATTTGCAAAGAAGTCTTTGTTGTCTATAGCATCAGCAGTTGGGAAACCAATAGCTATAGATAAAGCTACTCAAATCAAGTCAAGACCTAGCACGGCTAGGGTCAAGGTTATACTTGATCTAATGGAAAAGCTTCCAAATCGTATAAGGTTGCAGTTTGTGGATGGAAAATCTGGTAAGTTGATCGAGGTTTTTCAGGAGATTGTTTATGATAATCTACCTTTGTATTGCAATTATTGTAAGCACCAAGGTCATGATGAAGATAGTTGTCGTTTGAATTCGAAAATAAATCAAAATAACAAACAAATTGATGATACCATTGAAGGTGCTTTAAAAGGTACTACCGATAGTGAAAAGTATCAAGGCGATGCGAGAGAGATACTAAATGAAAAAAGAAAGACCGTAAATGTCAATCAAAGTAAAGCTACTTTTTTAGATCAATAATTGGTTGCTTCCACTTTCGAGCAAAATCGTGTAAACTCAATGGATGTTGATACAAGTAATATTGGTGTTCAAACAACTACCGCAAACAAAGGTGATTGCAATAACCAACAGGCTGCTACTAATGAGGTGCAATCAACAGAAGATGGGCTGAATTTGATGTCTAATGCAACTAAAAACGCAGGAGGAACACCAAGAGTTGGGGTTGATGCGCCGCGAGTTGATTCAGGGCACAAATTAATGGATTCTAGACAAAAAATAATGAATACATCTAATGTTGAAGATGCTGAAAATTCTGGGCAGCATGTTTTGCAAGTTGAAAACGAGAATCCCATTAAAAACTGGACACTGGTTGCACACAAAAGATCAACTAGTAGTCGGAGCATTTCCCCTACTAGTCAAAATAATTCTCCATGTAGTGAAAAGAGTTCGACTGGGAATTTTCATAATAGTGAGAAGAGGCAAGATACTAGTAATGCCTCAAGAGACTTATTATGTTCGAATAGCTTTAATGCTTTATTGAAGACTACTGGAAAGCAAGTAAGGTTAACAGAGAATGACCACGATTTGATCCAAGAAAAACAAGTCTCACCACCTGCTTTACATAGCAAATTAAGTCCAGAAGCTTCTGTATTTGTGCCTAAATGTGTGCTTGCAAGGAAGAATGCCTTAGTGTCAAATACAATTGATTTGGGTGAGGATTCTCTTGATGAAGATGGAGTGGATTTGGGTGAGGATTCTCTTGATGAAGATGAGGAAGACAATATGTTGGAGATTTGCTTTGATAGAGTGGCTAGGGAAGGAGATATATCACCTAGGCAACAAAGAAGTGGAAGCAACAAAAGCAAAAAGAAGACATGTGGAAGGCAACATAGTTGGGACGGTAAAATGACTGAGGAGTTTGTTCCAAGGCACATATCGATGCGACAGGCAAAGCAAAACCATTTGATAGTATCAATAGGTTCAACTAGATCCAATAAATCCATAAATAAGGTATGAATCATCAAGTGTTGTTGGATAGGTTTGAAGAAGAAGACAAGAGAAAAATACTTCAAGCTACTTTTGATGGGAAATCAATCTTTTTTAATTCATACTTTAGTAATAGAAAGTTTGAGGCTGATAACTCAACTTTCTTCTTGATTGACATATTTTTACATTATTTAAGCATCCTCATTTGTAATATCATCATGGAGTGTATTACAAACTCTGTGATGATCAGAAAATATTTAGTTCTCTCTAATTCATATTTTATTCATGTTTGTTAGGTAGCAGAAGTTAGGTACTTCATTAGGATTAGTAAGGTAAGACCTAGCCTCCCTTGCTTGTATTTGACCCTATTGATATTTTTTATGTTTAATAAAAGACCGCTAGACACTATCTAGTGGTAAATTTGTTTTTAAAAAAAACCAAAACTAAACAATGTTTGGTTTATTTTTTTAATTTTTTTGCAAGTATTACTCAAAAACAAACATCACAAGAATATTTCTATGGATTTATCACTTCAAAATAAATAATAATAATAAATAAAAAAAAGATATCCCCATTAGTTTTAAAATGGTAATAATATAAAGAACCCTCCACCCCCTCTTTTACACTTTTCCAAGGAATTCTTTTGTTGGGAAGAAGAGGAGGGACATTATCTTTGTTTGGTTGCATTTCATTTTTTTAAGGCTGTCATCTTACAAATAGGACACACATTCTTCAGCATTAGCCACTGCTTTATGCAACTGCTATGGAATTCATGTCCACAATCCAATATGCCCATGTAATCTCCACTTGTGTATTCCTCCTGATTAATGTAAAAGAAAACCGACGAGATTTATTCAACAATCCTTCTCCAGTAATATCAACAAATTATAGTGTAAAACCATTAGAAAGAGTCTCACCCGACATATACAGCAAGGCGACGATGACCCTCCATATACTGGCTCATGCTTTCACTGTTTCATACGTCCCAAAATGATTTCTTCACTCAATCCGGTGTTCACATTTCCTATATGTTCTTCCAATGCCAATAATTCCTAAGGAATGCAAAGTACAATATGAGAAATCTATTACAAAATTTAGTGATAGCAAAACACAACCATATTTACCTCGTACGACATGTTATCAACATCGAGCCTCATGCCTCTATGTCTATCATGCAACTCCGCGACATTGTTGACTAATGGATCAAGCATCATATAATCCTGCCAAAAATTCAAAAAAAAATAAAAATAAAATGAACCATGGTGTCTATCAAGGACCCAAAACTCAGTCAGCTTCCTGCTAACAAGTGATCAAGATGTGAAACCGGCATAACTAAGTCAGATGCAATTAGGTTTCATTATCAAAAAACAAATAACTGGCCACTAAGAACTTAAAACACTATTGGGTGGAAAATAAACAAATAAACACCTTAGTAGGAATATTTTAAGCTAATCCTAAAATAAAGGCTAAAAACAAGGATATTGCATCATTGAAAAACTTCTGAGAAATATTTTTCATCGAAATCAACTATGCAAGTTGACGAATGCCTACAAGTGTGGGAGTGATTCTAGTCAGGGAAGGCCAAGATAGTGCAGCGCGCCTAAGGCTTGCGCTAGGCGCTCACCATTAGGCTGAGCCATATCGCATCTTGCTGGTAATGAATTGATTCCTGAATCTTTGCTTGGTTTAGGCAGGTAAGTGTTAATAAGCTCCTTAAGGCTTTCATTAATGTATATATAGGTAACCTTATATTTCTCCTCATTGAAAAAAGAAAAGAGAAAAAGCATAGGTAACTAGATCCATTACTGGCTAGATCAGCATCTGAACAAACATCATCAACCAAATTCTGACAAGTATTTATAAGGAACAGCTTACAAGCATCATCAACCAAATTCTGACAAATATTTTTCACCCAAACAACCTAATTGGCAGTCTAGTAAAAATATCATTCGTCGGAAATAAGAGAATATAGGTAATTTGTTTTCCTTCCAGATTTCTGTGGCTGGACAGGACACTATTCTGGCCATATTTCTACCCCTAAAGCTTATGGAGCAAAGATTACAAGTAAAAGTAATTATGTGTATAACTTTTCGCAGGCCAGCAAATCAATAGATATTTCATGCATCACAGTGTGCAGATCATGAACTACATATCATTCATTAAAAGTACACATGTAAACTAGCTGAACATTCATTGGGATATCACAAGGTTCAAAACAAAACCTCGGATCGCCTGTTCTCGCCCCTCCGCATGGCATGCAGGACTTGACGAATCTGTTGAATGCAAGCAGCAACATTTAGTAAGTAATTAGAAATTTAACGGTAGGTCAAAAGTATCTCAGAAGGCAGGCATAAAGCAACATAAAAACAGCTGGATTTATTCAAAAGGTGAACTTGACAGAACAAAAATCCAGGACAAACTGAAGATCAAGCTACACCCAATTAGTGGAAAAAGTGAAACTATAAAGTATCAGCTTCTGTAAAGATTAAGGTAAAAATTGTAGGTGCTACAGTTCACATTCATTCTAAGTTCCAAGTTGTGGGCAACATAGCTGTAGAAGTACATAGATATCTGTGAGAAGTGATCATGTATTAGCCTTGTTATTATTTAATACCTTGTTTGGTAGTGTTTTCAACGTATGTATGTATTAGGTATACATCCTATTCGGTATTATAGGGTGTATAATTAATACATAGCAACCCATGGTATAAGCAATACCAGGGTTATTAAAACATGGATAAGCATGGTTAACCTTGAATATACCAAACCAAAGTGGATAAGACATAATCCCCGCATAACTAATCTCAGTATTACTAATACACCCTATTCAGTAGTACTATTCTTATACATCCTACTAAACAACCTCTTAAGCAAATTGCAATCCTTAACCAATCCAGAAGCTATACTCACGTGCTAATTGTCAAAAGAACTATAATTAGGCATGTGCTTCTGTTCATGTGTGATACCAATACTTGGACTTGAGTGTTGGCCAGTACATGAAACACTAATCTTAAACTAAATACTAACCAAATAAACAACTAATGTAACAGTCTTCATAGCACCACAAGATGAGCAAGTAAGAAAAAAGGGGAACATGAATAAGTAGATGAAAGGAAGAAGACAAAATAGTAATACAAGAACAACTATTTATATGTTCAACAAGCCAGATACAAGATGAGAACAGTTGAAAAACATTGATGGACAAACCAAAGTACAACAGTTTTAATACTATTTCAAACACAAACCTCCCGTACCATTCTGTGGCGGCCCTCGATATCAGAAGCTAAACCACGCCATCCATCTACATCATTACTTGGGAAATCGGCCATCAAAGATGATATAAGTTGGTTTCGATGATTATGACGGCTACTAGATCCCCGGCTACTAGATCGCAATGATATCTCTGCCGCCTCCACAGGAGAAGCAGCTGAAGATAGAAGTGGATAATGACCTCTCTGATTTCCAGACTCGGACTCAACAGGTGGGAGGAGAGTCCAAGGAGAAATTTCAGAAGAATTACGAGTACTACTGTTTGCTAAGTTTTGATAAGGTGTCCATGCAGTAGGAAAAGTTTGCATACTTGGCCCACGGCTGAGTGCAGAACTAGAAGGCGTATTTCTGGAATAGCTTCCATTTGAAGTAGCTAAACTCCAATTAGTGGTATCCTGTACAATATTTTCAGTCTCAGGAACAGGAACAAATGGAAGAGGTTCCCCATTATTTCTTATTGAGCTCCGGAAGTTAGCATCATCTTGTGATGCAGCATATCTATCAGCAGAAACCACATTTGAACTTGATGAACTACCACCTCGTGAATTAGAAGATATATTCCAAGGAACTGGATGCAAACCACTTGGAACACCAGAAATGTGCATTACGCCAGAATGGCTTCCTGAGTTACCTGCATTCATTGGCTGTGAAATTGGTTGTCTGGAGCCCAAATAATTAGATACTGAAATAGGTCGAGGAGTTACAAGAGTAGAGCCAACACTAGAATGCCCTAAATCTGTCCCAAGATTCCGTCCACTACCAGAATTTCTGGCAGAGGTTTCTGCAACTCCACTAGCACCCACTCTTGTACCAACCCTATTTCTTGGATAAAGGTTTTCCAAGTGATAAGTATTCTGCACACTTGCAGATGCTGGTGATATGTTTAAGTTGCTGGAAGCATCATACTGACTGGGAAAATTGTGCGGTATAATGTTCACAGGTTGTGTATTGGAGCTTGAACTTCTACCACAAGACTGCCCAGAACTGCCTTCAAGGACCTTGCGCTTGCAGGATATACCCCGAGTACCCATGGAAGAATCTGATATATCAGGAGACCTGGCCCAATAACTAGAACTACCTGAAGAAGTACCAGCATTGTAAAAGACACCAGAAGCAGGACGCTCCGCTTCCCATCTGCTGCTAGAAGTGTAGACAGTTGGAGATACACTTGGTCTCATAACGAGCCGAGTGTCACCATTATTGTATATGCCACTTAAGTTAGCATTTGCAGGCCTGTGAGCCGAGGCAAGATTTGGTAAAATTGGAGGGCTTCCAATCAGATGACTTCCAGCATATCCACTTGTTGAACTCTCAGGATGGAGGACATTGGATGGTCCAAATCGCATCTCTGCTGACTTTGGATTAGTCAGGACATGATTACTTGATGAAGAAGGCCAATCATGTCCTATTTTCAAATAACTACAATGTCCAATGCCATGAAAATTGGCACTGGAGCTGGACTCACCTTGATCCCGCAAACTGCAGTTCTGTGTTGTATAACTAATACCATTAGCACGTCTACGATTTTCTCTAGCAGGAGAAAGCATGGAATTCGATAATTGATCCTCCACTGGATTTAGAAATTTATTCCAAGGGGCTGTCGGATCTCCAGAAGCATTACTTGAAACAGATCCCTGATTAAGATCGATAGTTTCTGGAAAGGAATCTAGTATGCTTCTGTTCCCTTGCATCTTGGCCAATTATGGCAAATCAAGGCCTTGAGTGCACTAGTGAGGAAATTCTGTCAAAGAACAAAATTAACAATAGTTGATATCTTGAAAAGGTTAAAGCATAATATCACTGGAGAAAAGTGAAAATATAATAAAACCTAAATTGGTTATATAACTTCTGTTGCACTAAGATAGTAATTTCAGCTGCGTATAGAATCAGTTCACAGCAATCATAAGTCGAGCAAAAGCTAAAAGACACAATTGGTAAAGCAACTGTTAATTTTAGCTGAAGGCTTTCAGTTTCCATCAGAATAACCAAGGCACCTCATGCAGGGCACAAGTAACACAAGGAAACTCTCTTATAGGGTGAACATTTGAAGAATGTTTTATCATTTCTGAGGTTTAATTTATGCTTAATTTCCAGCTCATCAGTTGATCTAGGTTTCAGCTTATTTATTTAAGTTTTTAGACAGATAATTTGGTGTATTCTTGTAGTGGTTCCACAGAGAACTTCTTTAATAGGTTTTTAGGTACGTTAATTGCTTCCTAGATTATTGTTGAGTCCCAATTGTCTTAGGATGCAAGAGCAAGCTTGTTTCTATGTTGAAGTAGTTCTATTCGTAGGTAAGAACAATTTTTTCAGTCTAAAATTGTTTCTTTTACTGTTCTTATTAAGTAGAGCTTATCTATGAGAATTGTTTGTTAGTTTCAAAGCAAGCTTTATTGCTTTTTTGGTTCTTCTGTAGCCTTACCTTGGGAGGTTTAACCATAAGGAATTATATATCTTATCCTTGACAAGTTTTACCTATAATTAATTCTAGGTGGGTCCAAGACTCCTTCCTTTCCTCTCCCCATCTTCTTCTTTTTTATCATTTTTCTCCCTGTAGCTACAGTCCAGGTGCTACTTCCAATCTGCATTTGAACCAGTCTCATATTTCTCCCTACATTTATCTTTTACCTTCACAAAAACAGCAGCAATACTCTGGTTGTTAAATCCTCAGAGAGAAACATGAATTAACCACAACAACCAGTAATTTTAGTTCCAACGGGGCCATCCTACTGGCCCCCAGTTATAATTAACAGCCATTAGCAATAAGTTTCAATATGGCGTTGAACACAACTACTAGAAACTTCATAAGCAGAACCCATGTTCATCAACTAATGATGAAATAAAGCTACATGGAATGATATGAAATCTGCTGATCACTAATGTAACAAGGCAACTACGATAATCAGCAGCATGAGAAAACGTTTTTCCTTAGTCGCATAGCTTACCTGAGAAATTGTTAAGTTACTTCAAATTTATAGTTTGTTCACAAATGAACACAAATTTTTACTTTGTTAGCAATTGAACACAAGTTCTCACTTATCCAATGATATTACCTTTAGATACTCCACCAAAATATTAGCCTGTCAAAAGTTGCTTCAGACAGTTGGAATTTTCTCAAACATGATACTTACGACCATTTAATTGCTTGGTTCTGCAGCTTGATTGGTAAGCGTGGAGTTGTGACAATGATTCTACCTAAAAAATTCTTGAGGACCTAGACAAAAACAATTTACACATGAGTTACTCATAATGCTTACCATGCCACATGAATAGTGCCAGAGTGAGATGACAAAAGATAAAATAAATCTTGTGTATCCTATCAGCGTTGTGGAAAAAAAAAATGGATCCAGACTTCCACCAAATACAAGTACATTTGGTAGAAGAGCCAAATTTTCCCAAGTACGAAAGACCAACTTAAACTTAGACGACTGAACAAACACAAATGGGAGAGTATGCCTAGTTCCAAATAATAATCTTTACCCCCAAGCTATGACTTAGAATCGTTGAATAAAATAGAGTCATAGACTAAAAAGAGTAAACCATGCTTTAGACCTTCGTTGGCAAAGGTGATTAGGAAAGGTTAACTTATTGTGCATGTTTAACAGACTTTTCTTTTCTTTCCCCACAAAAGAATACTTTTTCAATAAATACCAAAAAACAGTAGAATAAAGTTAACAATAACTAAATAACAGCAATGAGGCAATGTCACTTCCTTACTACTTTTTGGACAAAATCATTGGACAAATTAAAGCAATTCACTAGAAAATAATGCACTTGATTCACATCTTGATGCATGGCTGACAGATCCTCCCCGAGCAAAAGTGAAACCACTTATATATAAAAATTACTTAGGGGGCGTTTATTATGAGAGACAATGAATAATAATCCCAGATTATTTTATCCCGTGTTTGGTTAGGGTATGTGTATTTGTTAGTCTTGGGATTATTTATCTCACCATTTGTATCACAATGTAGGGACAATTTATCCCATATAGTATATGGTGAAATCACTTTGTCTATCCATACCAAACAACCCCTTAAGGTCTTATTTACATAAACAACAATTCAAGGAATATTCAGGTTCAACATTCTTCATTCTATAACAACTGAAAAGTCGATACCTCAGGCCTTATATAGAAAAAACATTATTATGCTGATAAAAGATTAATTTCAACAAGTACTGACTGTAATCCACACATAAACTTTTCACAATATAGTAGATATCCTAATAGTCAGTAAAACAACAACAAGAACAAATACCCCTTAGTCTCAAACAAGTTGACAAGAACAAATACACCTTGGTCCCAAACAAGTCAATGAACATGTTTATCCAATTAAATTCATTGCAAAAAATAAAATAAAAAATATTAGAAAGAAGTAAAAACTTGTATTGATACCACTAGTATCTGAACTCAATTGAATTGCAGATCCGCATTACAAAAAAAAAAAAAAAAAACAAGTAAAAGGGTGTTATCGTCAGTAACAATTATTCTTCAAGAAAAATAGATGACAAAAAGCTGAAATTTCTTAGTTAACAGAGACATATATTCAAGAAAATTAATGGGTCGATCAAGATACCTGAGAATCAGATGATCGGTGAAGTGACAGAATTTTCTGGGATTTCTATGTATTGGGGTTATGGGCTTTGCTTTTTCTGTATTAAAAAAACACTATATCTCCATTGGAGATGAGGGTTTCGTTCTTGGTGAAGGGAAATGGAGAGAAATTGAGTTTCTTCCTCTCTATCTGTATGTAGGTGTGGCTCTGTGTCGGAAGTGAATGAACAATTAATCTCTCATAAATGTACTATTTATGTTTTCTAATTAGTTTGACTAGCCCGGCCCTTCGATTTTTTCTGCTTAGTTTAGTTAGCCCAGCCCTTTATAATCAAATCGAAATTAATAATTCTAATAAAAAAGTTATTTTTACTCTATTAATAAAAGTTATTAATTTAGCTGACGAGAGGGAGTTGCTCGGATGGTAAGCACCCCTCACTTCCAACCCGAAGGTTACGAGTTCGAGTCACCAAAGGAGCAAAAGGGGTGGGAGCTCCTAGGGAGGGTAAATAAAAAAATTATTAATTTAGCACTTTTAATAATGATATTGATTTTTTTTAATATTAGATAATTAATTTTTAATGGTTTGAAAAATATTTTAACAATTTAATCAATAATTTGATAGTAAATTAATAAATTATTTCTAAATTATATTCATATCATTAGACATATAGAGTCCATGAATTAAGGTTTAAGAGCATGTTTGAATTGATTTATTTTAGGTGCTTTTAAGCCAAAATTATTTTTAAGTAGTTTTATAGTGTTAAGATAAAATAAAAAGGCTTTTGAATTATAAGTCATAGCCAAAAGTCAATGTAAACTAGTTCTAGTTTCATACTTTTATTTTTAATTGTCTCAAACTTTCGATTATTTTACAAGGTGTGAATAATTGTGTTTGAGCAAGATGTAATATGTCAACTTATATGTATGATTCATTTGGTTTGTCAACTTATTTCTAATAAGTGATTTTCAATGATTTTCTTTGGTGTGAAATCTTAATAGTTAAACATAAAATTGGACTGACAATGATCAATAACTGATATCTTAACGGTTTATTATGTCAAGCACTCGATAATGATAAATCGAACCAATAAATTTTAATATTGAACTGAATCGATTGATATGCACACCTACTCGTAACAATATTTATTTATGTTACTAATTGACTAGAGTTTATAAGTCGATTTAAATAGCTTTAAAATAGTTACTTTCTCAATGAAAATTTTGAATCTACCACAGCTAGAATCAGAGTTATGTAGGGGTGGGCATTTGGTATTCGGTTCGGGATTATCAAATTTCAGGTTCAATAATTGAATAATTGGTAGTTAAAAATAGATACCAAATATATCAAAATTTTAAATTTCGATTCGATAATTAGGTAATCGGTAAATTAAATTTTGGTTTGGTATAATATTCTTTATATTGTATTGAAGTTATAGCCGATTGTATTACAAAGTTAATACTATTATTGCAATCATTTCTATTTTTTATGTTGATGCACGATTTATTTGAAGATCAATAAGTAAGAAGACATCAAGAAAAATAAATTGATACAACTAAAAGACATATATTTGAGTTGTTTATGTTTATTCTTTAACTTTCTCTTTGGATTTGTACTAATGAGTAATGGACATGTTGATATACGACCTTCATTAACTAAATAATTCGGTATTTGGGAAATACTGATTACCAAATGGTACTAATGTCTCATACCAAACTCAAACCCGAATACCTTAGTTCTAAAATTTTACTCATGGATACCATACCGAATACCCAATTATCCAATACCAAATAACAAAAAAAATTGGTTCGGTTCAATTTGGTAATTCGGTATTTCATACCCAACCCTAGAGTTATGAGACAATTTTTTATTTGAGTTCCACTATATATTTTTTCTTGAAATTCCATCACAATATGCTAGAATTCGACTTAAAATTGAAATTTAATTTAAGCTTGCATTTGGACATGCGAATAAAATTATGATTTCAAATCAATATCTGGACATGCAATTTGGAATTATGATTTGAAATTTCAAATTCTCCAAAAAAAAAAAACATGATTTGAAATTTCAAATCATGATTTTTAATTATTTTTTAAAAATATAAAACTTGAAGTATAAATTTATATTTTGTCATAAAAAATAAAAAAGACACATCAAATTAAATTTTGCACAAAAAATACATGCTCGGCTTAAAGAAATTATGTATATCAGATAAAAGGATTATATTAAGGAATAATTAGGTACTGCCACCGTCGAGTATGACTCATTTGTTGTTGGTTTTCTGAGTAATTTCTGGCCTCTTTCTATGCTTGCGTTTGTTGTTTCTCTTTGCATTTTCCTTTCCGGCTTTTCCCTCTTAACAGATTTTATGTCTTTTTAGCTTCAATTGATTTGAAGAGGCATATTTTCGATCCAAAAATTAACGTTAAACACAATTATGATCAAGTAGGTGAAAAAAAATATATTCAAGTCATTTTCAATATGTTACCGACCATTTTTCATTTTTAAAATAATTAATTTCCCCGAATACTCAGTATTAAATCATGTATCTAAAAGTATAATTTATCTTAAGAATCACCTATATATAACAAAAAATATATGTGTACGAGTTGCAAAACAAAAGAAAAAGGTTCAAGTATTTGAAAATGATGAATGATGGTCATTGAGCCGATTACAACAAGAAAAGAATTCAAGTTTTTGAAAATGATGATCATTACACTAGTGACATTAATTATTTGAGACATTTTTTTGTCTCACAAAAAAAAGTAAACTCAAAACTTATTAACTGGAAAGCCTAAGATTTGAATCCACATTATTGTAAGACAGTAAAAAATCTGACGCAATTTTTCCTTGACCAAAATCTCAAATGCAAGTATATTAATACATGTAACATAGAATGAATGTTCTTTAGTTTTACCAAGCAGGATTAATGAGTTGTTCTTGCAAACTATTTTTTACAATAATGAATGATTAAAGGAATGGACAAATACCACCAAAACTAAACACATTGTTTGGTTAAAGAAAAAACTTGTGAAGTATTACTCAATACAAACATCATAACAAGATTTCTATGGATTTACCACAACATCAAAATAAATAAACATCCCATGAGTTATAAAATAGTAACAACAAGAATTCTTTTGTTGGGAATTGGAGGAGGGGAAATTATCTTTATTTGGTTGCATTTCATTTTTTTAAGGCTGTCATCTTACAAATAGGACACACATTCTTCAGCATTAGCCACTGCTTTATGCAACTACTATGGAATTCATGTCCACAATCCAATATGCCCATGTAATCTCCACTTGCGTATTCCTCCTGATAAATGTAAAAGAAAACCAACGAGATTTATTCAACAATCCTTCTCTAGAAATATCAACTAATTATTAGAAAGAGTCTCACTCGACAGATACAGCAAGGCTCCATATTGGACGATGACCCTCCATATATTGAATCATGCTTTCGCTGTTTCATACGTTCTAAAATGGTTCCTTCACTTAATCCGGTGTTCACATTTCCTATACGTTCTTCCAATGCCAATAATTCCTAAGGAATACAAGTAGAAGAGATAGGTGAACGAAACCCTTAACAATTTTGAACAGAAAAAAAAAAAAAAAAAAAAAAAAAAAACCCTTCAAAGATCTCTGGTGCGTAATTTCCAGATCTCTTATTTATAAGAATGAAAATCTCTTGAAATCAAGATATAAAACTAAAAAACGAATTTGTAAAGGGGTTACAATATGAGAAATCTATTACGAAACTTAGTGATATCAAAGCACAACCATAATTACCTCATACGACATGTTATCAACATCGAGCCTCATGCCTCTATGTGTATCATGAATTTCTGCAGCGCCGTTGAGAAATGAATCAAGCATCATATAATCCTGCCAAAAAAAATATAAAAAAATGAACCACTGGTGTCTACTAAGGACCCAAAATTCCAATGAGGAGATAAGTCTAGATTAAGTGAGCTTCCTTCCTGCTAACAAGGGATCAAGATGTGAAGGCTTTATAATCCAGTCAGATGCAATTAGATTTCATCATCTAAAAAACAATAACAGACTAAGAACTACAAAAATCTGGATAGGATGGAAAATAAAAATAAAAACATCTTAGTAAGGATAATATTAAGTAAAAACTAAGAGAAAGGCTAAAAATAAGAATATTGCACCATTGAAAAACTGCTGAGAAATATTTTTCATTGAAACCACCTATGCAAGTTAACGAACGCATACACGTGTGGGAGCGATCCTGTTCAGGGAAGGCTAAGACGGTGTTGAAGGCTCGCGCTAGGTGCTCACCTTCTTTGGCTGAGCCGTATCGTATCTTGCAGCTAATGATTTGATTCTGGAATCTTTGCATGGTTTAGGCAGGTAAGTGTTAATAGGCTTCTTAAGGCTTATTTCACCTTATATTTCACCTCATTGAAAAGAAGAAAAGAGAAGAAAGATAGGTAGCAAGCATCATCAACCAAATTCTGGACAAACATCTCTCTTACTTAAGCTTGTGGAGCACGGGTTACAAGCATCATCAACCAAATTCTGACAAATATTTTTCACCCGAACAACCTAATTGGCAGTCTAGTAAAAATATCACTCGTCGTCGAAAATAACACAACTTAGGTAATTTGTTTTCCATCCAGATATCTATGGCTGGACATGTTACAATTCTGGCCATATTTCTACCCCTTCAGCTTATGGAGCAAATATAACAAGTAAAAGTAATTATGTTTATAACATTTCACAGCTCAGCAAATCGATAGAAACTTCATCCATCACGGTGTTCAGATCATGAACTACATAATATTCATACAAAGTACATGCGTAAACAAGCTGAGCATTCATTAGGGTATCATAAGGATGAAAATAAAACCTCAGATCGCCTGTTCTCGCCCCTCCGCATGGAATGTAGGACTTGACGAATCTGTTGAATGCAAGCAGCAACATTTCGTAAGTAATGAGAAAATTAACCGTAGATCAAAACTATCTCAAAAGAACGGCATGAAGCAACATAAAACCAGCTGGATTTATTCAAAAAGTGAACTTGGCACAACCAAAATCCAGGACAACTGAAGATCATGCTACACCCAATTACTAGAAAGAGTGAAACCATAAAGTATCAGCTTCTGAAAATATAAAGGTAAAAAGTATAGGTGCTTCGATTCATATTCATTGAGACATAACATTCATTCTAAGTTCCAAGTTGTGGGCAACACAGCTCTAGAAATAATCCCAACAAAACTATTCTCAGCATTAGTAATACACCATATTCACCACGGTCATCAAAAAAAAAAACATAGTCAGTACTATTCTTGAACATCCTACCAAACGACCCCTTAAGCAAATTGCAATTCTTAACTCATCCAGAAGGTATACTCCATGCTAATTGTCAAAAGAACTATAAGGAGGCATGTGCTTCTGTTCATGTGTGATACCAATACTTGCACTATGTTGGGACAGTACATGATCCACTAATCCTGAACTAAATACTAATCACAAGATGAGCAAGTAAGAAAAAAGGGCAACACGAATAGGTAGATGAAAGGAAGAAATCTTCAGGAAGACAAAATAATAATACAAGAAGAAATATTTATACTTTCCTCAGGCCAGATACGAGATGAGAACAGTTGAAAACATTCATGAACAAACCAAAGTACAACAGTTTTGATACTATTATAAAACACAAACCTCCCGTACCAGTCTGTGGCGACCCTCGATATCAGAAGCTAAACCACGCGATCCATCCACTTCATTACTTGGAAAATTGGTCATTAAAGATGATATTAGGTGGTTTCGATGATTACGTCGGCTACTAGATCCCCGGCTACTAGATCGCAATGATATCTCTGCCTCCTCCACAGGAGAAGCAGCTGATGATAGCAGGGGAAAATTACCTCTCTGACTTCCAGACTCGGACTCAACAAGAGGTAGGAGAGTCCTAGGAGAAATTTCTGAAGAACTATGAGTACTACTGGTTGCTAAGTTCTGATAAGGTGTCCTTGCAGTAGTAGAAGTTTGCATACTTGGCCCACGGCTGAGTGCAGAACTAGAAGGCATGTTTCTGGAATAGCTTCCATTTGAAGTAGCTAAACTCCAATTAGTTGAATCCTGTACCATATTTCCAGACTCAGGAGCAGGAACAAATGGAAGAGGTACCCTATTACTTCTTATTGAGCTCCAGAAGTTAGCTTCATCCTCACTATCAGGAGAAACCACATTTAGACTTGATGAACTACCACCTCGTGAATTAGGAGACACATTCCGGGGAACTGGATGCAAACCACTTGGAACACCAGAAACGTACATTAGGCCAGAATGGCTTCTTGAGTTACCTGCATTCATTGACTGTGAAATTGGTTGTCTGGATCCCAAATAATTAGATACTGAAATAGGTTGAGGAGTCACAAGAGTAGAACCAACACTAGAATGCCCTAAATTGGTCCTAGTTGGCAGTAAACCAAATGTAACTGTATCATGATTCTCAAGATTTTGTCCACTCCCAGAATTTCTGGCAGAGGTTTCCGCAACTCCACTAGCACTAAGAGGAGGAATTATGTCAGAGGCAATCACTCTTGTACCAATCCTATTCTGCACGCTTGCAGAGGCTGGTGATATGTTTAAGCTGCTGGAAGCACCATGTTGACTTGGAAAATTGTGCGGTCTAATGTTCTCAGATTGTGCATTGGAGCTCGAACTTCTACCACAAGACTGCCCAGAACTGCCTTCAAGGACCTTGCGCTTGTAGGATAAACCCCAACCCATGGGAGAACCTGATATATCAGTGAACCCAGGCCGATAACTAGATCTACCTGAAGAAGTACCAGCATTGTAAGAGACACCAGAAGCAGGACGCTCCGCTTCCCATCTGCTACTAGAAGTGTAGACAGTTGAAGATACACTTGGTCTCATAACCAGCCGAGTGTCACCATTGTTGTATATGCCACTTAAGTTAGCATTTGCAGGACTGTGAGCCGAAGCCAGATTTGGTAAAATAGTAGGGCTGCCAATCAAATGATTTCCACCATAACCACTTGTTGAACTGTCAGGATCGAGGACATTGTATGGTCCAAATCGCCTCTCTTCTGAATTTGAATTAGTCAGCACATGATTACTTGATGAAGACGGCCAAGCATGTCCTATTCTCAAATGACTAGCATGTCCAATGCCATGCAAATTGGCACTGGAGCTCGACTCGCCTTGATCCCGTGCCCTGCAGTTCTGTGTGTTATAACTAATATCATCAGCACGTCTAAGACTTTCTCTAGCAGAAGAAAGCATGGAATTCGATAATCGACCCTCCATTGAATTTCGCAAGCTATCCCAAGAGGATGTCGGATCTCCAGAAGCATTACTTGAAACAGATCCCTGATTAAGATCGATAGTTTCTGGAAAGGAATCTAGTATGTTTCTGTTCCTTTGCATCTTGGCCAATTATGACAAACCACGGCCTTTAGTGCACTAGTGAGGAAATTCTGTCAGAGAACAAAATTAACAATAGTTGATATCTTGAAAAGGTTAAAGCATAATATCACTGGAGAAAAGTGAAAATATAAGATAACCTAAATTGGTTATATAACTTCTGATGCACTAAGATAGTAATTTCAGCAGCGTATAGAACCAGTTCACAGCAATCACAAGTCGAGCAGAAGCTAAAAGACACAATTGGTAAAGCATCTGTTAATTTTGAGCTGCAGGCTTTCACAGCCTCCTTCAAAATAACTAAGGCACCTCATGCAGGGCACAAGTAACACAAGGAAACTCTTTTTATAGGGTGAGTATTTGAAGCATGTTTTAACAGTTCTTGGTGTATTCTTATAGTGGTTCCGCAGAGAACTTCTTTAATAAGTTTTTAGGTATGTTAATTGCTTCCTAGATTATTTTTGAGTCCTAATTACGCTAATAGGATGCAAGAACAAGCTTGTTCTATGTTGAAGTAGTTCTATTAGTAGGTAAGAACAAGATTTTCAGTCTACAAATTACTCTTCTACTGTTCTTATTAAGTAGGAACTTATCTACAAGAATTGATTTTTAGTTTCAGAGCAAGCTTTATTGCTTCTTTGGTGCTTCTGCAGCCTTAGCTAAGAAGGTTTAATTTTAGTTATAATGGTGTCATCCTTGTGCAGGATTATTTTATCATGCGTTTGGTTAGTATATGAGTATTAGCTAGTCTCGGGATTATTTATCTCACCATTTGTATCACAACGATGGGAATAAGTTATCTCATATAACTTTGTTTATCCCATCCCCCATACCAAATAACCTCTTAAGGTCTTAATTACATAAACAACAATTCAGGTTCAACATTATTCATTCTATAACAACTGAAAAGTCGATAACTCATACCTTATATAGTAAAAACATTATTATGCTGATAAAAGATTAATTTCAAGAAGTACCCAAATTTAATCAACACATAAATTTTCACAATTTAGTAGAGATATCAAAATAGTCAGTCATACAAGAACAAGAACATATACGCCTTTACCCAAACAATTTAACTCATACAAACGCCATTGAATTGCAGATCCACAGTACAAAAAGAAAACTACCCAAATACCCAAAAAAAAATCAAGAAAATTAATGGGTAGATCAAGATACCTGAGAATCAGATGATCGGTGAAGTGACGGAATTTTCTGCACTAAAAAAACCACAAAAAAAACACTACATCTCCATTGAAGAACAGAGAAGGAATGAAAAATGGGTAGAGAGAAAAATAGAGTTTCTTTCTCTCTATGTATAAGAACTGAGAGAGCAATTAAGTTGTGATAAATGCATTATTTTTTTATTTTTAAATGGTCAAAAATAATCCTATGCTATTAGTTTGGTAAAAAAAAAAAACTTAGTAATTGTTATTTCAATGAGTCAAAGTGCTTTTTTTCCTAATATATATTATATTATTTCTTTTCTTAAACACAAAAGTCGATTTTTTTATCCTCAATTTTTCTTATTTTTTAGTTTTTTTTAATAAAATCTTCATACAAATATTTTTTGAGTGTGCTTCGAATATTTCTTTAGTCTCAACAAGACATAATTATAATCTAAAGTGTTTCTTAGAAAATAACATAAAATGTAAATGAGTAATGACACTGAAATATTCAACAAAAATAATAATGAAATCACATTAAGAAAAATTATAAACTAATAAATCATAATTATAATGATCATCATATAAACGTACTAAGTCATGTTAATATAAGAATGATTAGTAATCATATACATAATTATCAACAATCTTATATTTGACATTATCAATTGCCTTTACTTCTCCCATTGATAACTAATTATCGGTGCTCAACTCTTAGTTTTTCCATATTCAATTTCACATGTTTACAATTTAGTCGATTACTTGTTTGTAACTCAATCTATAGAATTAATTCTACTGAATAGTGTTAAAAGCTAATAATCACTTAAACATTGTTTGAATCATTTCATGTGGAGACGATATATTTCTATATCATTTTTAACACGACAAAGATTTATTTTAGAGTATATTTTGTATTGATCATGTCTCGTAAAAAAATAAAAGACGAATGCTTAAATGATAAACACCTTTTATTTTCATATATATAAGATTGTGGGTTCAAATAATCAAAAAAAATAAAAAGATGTGAGCTCTCAAAAAAAGGAATAGCAGCTACCTTTAATTATGTTTTTTTGGAAATTAAAAGTGGATATTGACTAGAGCACCCAAACTTAAAATATTGAACTAAATTATGATAGGAAGAAGAGGGTCCGGAGCCAAAAGGGCAACTTTTTTCTTTCAAAAAACTAAAACGGTACATCAAAAAAAAATTAAACAAAAGTACGGAGCGATTTTTTTCTGACAAAAGTTGTCGTACGTTAAAAAAATTCTTTTTTTCTTCAAAATCGCTGGCAGCGATTTTGGTTAAGAATTTTTTTAATTTAATATTCTTTTATTATTATTTATGATATATAATTCAATTTTCCTCATGCTTCAACAATTTTATTGAGTATACTGTCCGTCTTGTTTATCATTTTTATATTATTAATAATTAACGATAGGCATGAATATAATAGCACTAGGCATGAAAAGTGTTGCCCCTGCAGCGATGTGTAAGGAGAAAAAAAAATCTGACTTAAGTGGCAGCGATTTTTAATGAAAAAAAAAAGAAAAAAAGTTTTAGACAAAATCGCTGCTAGGGCAGCGATTTTTCGTCATTGTGTCAGAGGGAAATCGCTTCGTCAGGAGCGATTTTGCCCTTTTGGTTTTAAAAAAATTTAATGTGCCCTTTTGAAATTTTTGACAATTTTTTTTGCCCTTTTGGCTTCGGACTCGGAAGAAGAGGGAGATGCATTTCCATGTTAAAAGGCTCAAGTTAGACAAGTTTTTTGGTCTTTCACCTCTTTCATATATTTTTTAAGAAATATATTTCTATTTTTTATATGATTTTATCAAAATTGAGGCTCGGAAAAGGGAAAATGAAAATTGCAAGGCCGAAATTTAATGTTCATCATCAAAAGAAAAATTTAAATAATCGATCTACTGATCTATTAAATCCTCTCTTTCATAATTTAATAACACAAACTTGGAATTTTTGTTTTTGCATCTACTTTTTCTGTCTTTACTCTTTAGTGCTAATTGGATTTCGGATAAGTTTGACTATATTTAACATCCGAGTCAAGTGTAACATTATGTTGTATTTTATATTCTCAATTCATGTCTCACTTTTTTATTTTTTTAGTATAAAAAGGAATGATGTTTTTTTTTATATTTAGTATTCAATTATTTAGTTTTGAAAAAAATATTTTATTTTTAATAAGATAATTTATAGCTATATAAATATTATAATTTGTTTTCAACCACAATCTTTTTTATATATAAAAAAAAAAAAATTATGCTCATTCAAATATTATCACATAAATTAATACACTTCGCTTGATGGCCCATGGGTGCCAATGAATTATACTTCTTGTAGCAGGAATTAAACTAAAATGCACAAGTGGAGGACCAACATCAAAAACTAAAAGTAGTTGCAAAAATGGTCCAAACCATAAGTGGAGATTTGGTTTTAGTTAAATACTTTGGTAAAGTCGTTCTAATAGATGGTCCTTAATAAATATATTTATTGAGAAAGTATGACAAAAGCATACAGAGTAAAAGTAAGATATAAGAAATTGTCTAGGGGTAAATTTGATTTTTTCTTCAATTGAAAATGGAATGAAAATCTTGGGGTATCTTCCCTTTGTGGGAAAATATTCATGAGTCCTAAAAAAAAGATATTTCCGCCCTTAGTTTCCTTTTTCTCTCCAATTAATAAGTAAAATTTTCTTATAAAAATGGAATTTAAGGCGTTTAAATTTGGTTATGCTAAAATCTATAGAAACGAAAGTGGAATCATATTGATTATACGGAAAATGATTAAATATACTATTAAGTATTATATTATACTAAATAGTTTAAACATATTCTTTTTTATATTTTTAATTCAAATATATTTCTTCAGTTATAATATTGGTTCAGATATACCTTTTTCATTATAATTTCACATAAATTTATCCTTAATTTTGACAAATTAAAAAACACACATTGACAAGCTCAGAATAAAATGAGTTATCCAAATTCCAAATACTACGTTTCTCCCCCCATTTTTATTTGTCATATTTTCCTTTCATATACGTACTAAGAAAACAATAATTGACATTTTTATTTTATCATACTACCCCTATTAATTGATGTTTAGTACTTCCTCTGTCCATTTTTAAATTGACACACTTTTTAAAAAAAATTGACATAGTGAGTTTATCATTTTATCCCTATTAATTGATAGAATTCCAAAATCGATTTATTCATTAAAGAGGTTCTACCTTTTGCAAAAAACATTAACTCTCTAAATAAATTGAGAGTATAATAGATAAATAATTTTTTTCTTTTCTTGATTTGTCAAAAATGATAAGCAAAAAATCAAAATTGGACAAGTAAAAAGGTATAGAGGGAGTATTACTTGAAATATGATTTGGAAAATAAATAATTAATGCTAAAGATAACATTTAAAAAAAACATAATTTTCTAGTAAAAAATGATAAAGTAAAAAAAGAAAAATCTATTTTTAAAATAATAAAGGGAAAATTATGCGGTTAAGCAAACTTATACTAAATTACTCATCATAGTTATAGTTTGCTATAATTACCACTCGCGGATAACATTATACATTAATTATGTGGGCTGACTTCGAGTTTGCATAATTAGCCACGTTTGTATATATATAATTCGCACCTAACAATTATTTGTTTGATTTGTATTTGTATATGATTGTTTGTATTTGTTTATGACGATGATTTCCTTTGATTTTTCAGTTTTGTCATCATATACATTCAATCTTTTTATGTATAACTTTTTAAAGTTTGTATAAACGTGTAGTTTTTGGAGCATAATTAGTTTATTTTTGAGTGACTATATGCGAAAGTTCCTCAATAATATATAAATAAAAATAAGGAACTTTAGGAATTAGGAATTTTGAGTAAATTCTTTTATTATTTTCAATCGCACTAAATAGGTATATTTGCTCGAATGGTAAGATCAATAAATTTACCCTCCTCTTATAAGAAACTTTAGGAATTTGGAATATTTCTTGAATAATTATTCCCCAAATAAGAAAACAAAAATCAATTTCAAGTAAAAAAAAAAGAAAAGAGGCACGTGTATATTTGTGATAAGTTGAAAACCCAATTTATTTTGTACTTTTGTCAATGAATTGAGATACAGATTCATCAGATTGTCAGAGCAAAGCCCTTTTTGATTTGCTCTGAAATCAAGAAAACCTGACAAAACAAAAAGCAAAAACTATCACTCACTGATACACAAACAACAACAAATATGAATCCTCGAAATTTGGCTGCTATGCTTTCTTCTCTAATTGCTCAATTACTCCTTCTAATTACAGTCATTTTCCCTTCATCAAATCCTCTTTCTATAACTAATTCTTCTCTATCTGATTTTCTTACGCCTCTTCTTCTCCATTTCCTCTCTGTTTCTGAAACATCCGCTACTCTTTCTCTCATCCCTTTTTCGCGTTGTAAACGAAAACGTATCCATTTCTCAGAATCCGATGCCCCGGCCGGCGAGGGTTTGACCCGGTTCAAACTGGGTAGACCCGACTCGTTTATCCGACGTAACCCGGATTGTTTCAAGAAATTCTTCAATATCAATTCTTCTACTTTTGATTGGCTTTGTGGGTTATTAGAGCCTCTGTTAGAGTGTCGTGACCCGGTTGACTCGCCACTTAATCTCGCTGCGGAAACTAGGCTTGGAATTGGGCTTTTCCGATTGGCTACTGGAGCTAATTTCTCCGATATTTCTCGGAGATTTAGTGTATCGGAATCTGTTGCTAAGTTTTGTTTCAAACAATTGTGTAGGGTGCTCTGTACTAATTTCCGGTTCTGGGTTGGGTTTTTGAATTCGGGTGAGCTTGAATCTGTTTCGAATCGATTTGAGTCGATTTCGGGTATTCCAAATTGCTGTGGAGTACTCTGTTGCGTAAGATTTAAGGTTAATGAAGAGAGTATAGCAGCTCAATTAGTGGTTGATTCATCATCCAGAATTATTAGTATTATAGCCGGTTTCCGCGGCGATAAAACTGATTTCCAGGTCTTAAATTCATCAACTCTGTTCCAAGATATTGAAAAAGGAACAATTTTTAGGAATTCAAAAGGTATGGAGATAAATGGAGTGGTTGTGCCTCAGTTTTTAGTTGGGAATGGAGACTATCCTTTGTTAAATTGGTTAATGTTACCATTT